TTTTTTTTTACCTTCATTTTCTACCATTAATTGTATACAATCTAAATGAATTGAAAGAGACACTAAAGAAAGTAATTCAACTTAACAGATGATAATAAGTTTAATTTTTTGCTTGCTATTACTCATATTTTATTCAAAACTCTAAACCTGAAAAATATTAAAAAAATGTTAAAACAACATAATGAGTTGTTCAAGATAACACAATGCAACAATTACATATCTAAACTGAAATAAATCCAAGAAAAAAAATATAATATATATGTTGATTTTCTTAAAATGTTATTAAAAAACATCATACAATGATCTAAATCATGTACTTATGACATTTGATCAAAAAATATGTACAAATTTTCATATGTATTAATTTTTGCTTTACTTAACAGGTTGTAATATATTTATGTTTTAATGCAGCTCTTTTAGCTAGTACATCAGTGACATGGGAGTCTCTGGGGGGCTGAACCACTTCAAGAGTGAAGTAGGGCCGGACTGTCCATGTACATGGGCTAGGATTGCCACCCAAGGGGAGGGGCCTCCCTCCCACCACCACCACCACCACCACCACCACCCCTCTCCCCCCCCCATGTTATTAAAAAACCTCATAAATGTTATTAAAAAACATCATACAATGATCTAAATCATGTACTTATGACATTTGATCAAAAAATATGTACAAATTTTCATATGTATTAATTTTTGCTTTACTTAACAGGTTGTAATATATTTATGTTTTAATGCAGCTCTTTTAGCTAGTACATCAGTGACATGGGAGTCTCTGGGGGGCCCTGGGGGATGAACCGGTTCAAGTGTGGAGTAGGGCCGGCCTGCCCATGTAGATGGGCTGGGATTGCCACCCAAGGGGAGGGGCCCCCTCCCATCCCCCCCCCCCCCAAAACACCCAGTCATTATGTGCATATGAAGCCATGCATGTATTTATCTCTGTTAGTGTGCATTCATGCATCAATGCATCCTCCTTCCTTTCTCACAATAATCCTACTCTCTACAGAATTAACTTCTCTTATTTTCATTTTTCTCTGTAATACAATTAGATGTTCAAGAAATTGTTATCATAGAAGTTTTTTAATTATCAGGTTGCTCTTATGAAAGCAAGCAAAGATTTTGATTTTTTTGGTTAATCATAAATCTTAAATACAGCATATTTAATATATCCAACTCGGTGTCTACAGACAAGGTATTAAAAGATGATGGTTCAAAGAGAGTAAATTATATGAACGGAAATAAATTCAATTATTTATTATTTTCAGTCGAAAAACTAATATCAATATGAGCTAAAATGAGCATTCAACTATTTCTTAAAATTAGATACAATAGAACGACAAGGCAATCCTAAGATTATTTGTTGCAATAGTCTTCTTAAAAGTGGCAAAAATGATTTTCGAAGAGAATCACACCTCTTAAATTTAATTATGGTTTGTGGGGATCTAAGATGATGCAAGGGATTTAAGGGGTACAATCAGACAGCCATTGATGAGAACAAGAATGCAGGAAAATTAATTCAGTCAGCTCATTTCAAAATTAGACGGTGATGACCATACCCAACTATAATTATTTAATTGGTTTAAGCTTATAAATGACTTTTACTTGTTAGTAGGCTTCTTATTACAGAACTTCACCATCCTGCAATTGCATGCAACTGATCATATTCTATGAGCAAACTTTTTTTATAAAAAATAAATATTTAACCTTTCCCAACAATTTGCATAAAAAGAATGCAGTATGATTGGGGAAAAAAGAAACAAGTCTTGTGGCAACTTTACATCTTGCAGATGGAACAAAAGTTTAAATTCCAAATAAGTTAAAAAAAAGAATTTAAGAAAAAAATGGTACTCTATATTCTTGTCCCAATAATATTAGGGATATAACAAAAACATTGTCGGAAAAAAATTTGCAATCAAATATTTTTTCATAGATTCTAACAAAATTTTCACCAATCAGATGAAAAACAGTATTAAGCTTCTGTATTCAGCTACAATTATGTAACTGTATAAATGAATTAAATTTAAAAATCTTTTAGAGAACATTATAGGCTAAAATTTCCTTTTATATGAAAATTTCGTTAACCAAGATGATGGAAGCTGCTCGATTAGCTTTTTCAAGTTAAAACAGAGAAACGGAAATGGTAAGAAAGCTGATTTGCATGCACTATTTCCATACAAGTAGACATCAGAAATATTCAGCAATGCAAGGAAGGTCAAACGATGCCCAATTTCTCTATTTAATACTAAATGATATTATGTTCATTTTGAGCAAATTAGTCTTTTCTTACATTCATATTCAATAATACCAGACTCCAACCCATATACAAAATTTCAGATGGAAATGAAAAATGACGTACATAATTTTATTCAAATAATAAAAATATATGGATATGCGAATATTTCAAATAGTAGCATATCCATTTTTGTCAACTTTTAGACGGACTAACATTCCAAATTTACGGAATTTTGAATTCATATTGACTATTAAATAGATATCCATCAATGCGTTGATACATATTTCCAACCTATAACGCAAGAGACCTATATTAAACTTATATCCTCGTTAACATGCACAATATGGCAAGAAACTTTGAAAGGAAGTAATTGAAATTTTCTCTGATAAAAATTTCAGCTTGCATTAAGTCCGTGCAGGTTGCACAACACAAGTTAAGATATACAATTGAAAGGGCACTTGTAATGATTAACATGGAAAAGAACTGTTCTATCCAGTTACAAAATGCACTTCTTAATTAAAGATGCAATTATCGATAAATACTAGGTCTTGACAATACCCCTCACTTTTCTCCTCCATTCTTAAAATATTTCTCTATCAATCCTATCTGTGTGCAGAACAGTGACACACAAGGCTATAATATTTTTTTTTTTTTTTTTGGAACGGCTAGAAGTTTTTTCACCTCCTCTTATTCTACCATGGGACTATGAGAGAACTTCATGCAGGTCAATAAATTGACAAATCAGAGATATTTTCAAAATTTACCAATGGCATTAATTTCCTAAACAATGAAATTTACAGCCGAGTACTAAATTGGAATGCAAGAACTAGTTGAACAATTTAAACACCTGTTTGGAAGACAGCGGTTCATGATCCACATACATGGCAGCTAACTTCCGCCGCCCACTGTTATCAGCATGAGCTGCAATTGTAGCATAGGATAAACCTTTGCACAACTTCAGCTGCAAAACTTTGGCTTCAGAAATACTGATGCCAATTAATAGAAACATAAAAATCTCTTCTGCATAATTGACAACAGAAAGAACAGCAAACCTTATCCAATAAAATGTTCAGCAGAGAAGCATCATCAATGGCTGTAGAAGCTGATATCTTTGTGCATGTCCAGTGCATTATAATAACTTCCTAAACAAAGACAAAAATACTAAGAAATTTGAAAACTACTTTTCAAAGAAATTAACATATTTATATCTAAAATAAACATTTATGAAAAGCAAGTTATTTAATAAGATGAGATAAAATTATCAAAAACTCATTGAAAAACATGTTAGTCATGAAGTATCACAAAGCGTATAATTACTTGTGCGGACAAAAGAAGATGGGATGTGAAGCTCAAGATCCACAACCGTCAGAAGAATGAAAGCTAATTGTGTTGCAGCATTGATCTTTTACTTATAAGTGCTTACTTAAAGATTAGCATATACATTTAATTTTGGATTTATATCATTAAACCGGTGTCAGTAGTTGTAGGTATCTAGATAAAATACTCAACATGGAGTTCATCGGAGGAAAAACGCTATGCCCACAGTAAGAATATTTACAGTACATTCCATTACAACTTATAATAATACAATGAAACTTAATTGTACCATACATTATCAGTGAATCATAGAGAATGAATGTTCTTATCCTCTTTAACTTTTATATTTCAATCTATTCAAACTCTTCTTTCTTGGTTTCTTTAGTGTTCATCTAAAGTGGCTTACACTAGAAATACATTCAGTTTACTTCTGTGCAGATTTGAATGAATTTAATCTTTATCTGCATATCATAAATTTCAGCCTTAGTTTTAATTGCTTGTTAGATTTTTGCATGCGAGTTATATTCTAGAAATTTACTTTGTAATAGATTTTAATAAATACCTTGATATCTGAGTTATAGATTGCATTCATGACCACTTGACATTGGAATATGTATCAAGGCAGTCTATCTGATAATGAGCAGGATGACATCAAGCTTGGTTTGTATCAGTACGTAAAGTTGATACAACATCAACAACACCATATAAACTGTGAGCTTATTCATCCTGAGGCAATGATATTTTTAATTTTACACAACAAGAAGATCCAAAAAATTTTAATCATGTAGAAACATTCAAGCAGGTGCAAGCAAAAATATTATATTTTTAGTGGACCAGAAGAAAACTTTAGTCGTGCAGCAAAAATCATCAACTTGGATACTAGTAGGGGATCATAAACATGTACCACTTCCAATAACTCGTAAGTTCACATAGAAATAAAGTAGCCTATCAGAATTCTTAAAGAGCTAGTCAGTAGCATCTTTTATCCTCAATCATCTATGATGTACCTCTTACAAGTTGGTTTTCCCATCAACAGTTCAGCATTAACAATAATAAAACATTTTCATAGACTTAACTTTCGTCATTCAAATAGTGTTGAGAAAAATAAAGCTTAGACACAAATCAAAAAATAGAAGGGACTTAATGGCCAAACATAATCATGTTAAAATTTGGCTATATTTTTACCAGAAGTTATATGCTAAATAAACCAAATATGATTGTGCTTATGGGTCCAAATTGGATAAGGATGTTTTTCTTCATTTGACAAAGGAAAACAAGAGTCCAGAAACTTAGGCACGCATTAACATGGTCAGTTAGACCCAGTCCATATAAACCATAAATTTGAACAAAGAAGATCGAATCTAATGAATGGGAGAGGTTGTGCTCATGCAGTGCTATGAATATTTTCAAATTAATTTTTTGCAGAACCAAATAGCACATAAATCTAAGCGATACAATTATGTCCTTTTCGTTGGTACACACATTATTTCAAGCAGAAAAACAGCTAACAAATCATGTGTCAAAAACATTTTTTTTGCCAAGATAGTGCGCCTTCCACAGTCCTATCTGGATACAAGGTTCATAAGTTGCTTTTGAAAACTCTTTAAATATGATGGGCATTAAACTTCATTATTGAACTTTTAATCATCTTCACATTGATGGAAAAACTAATTAGTTTAGGAGATATGCTACCCTTTTTTGTTAGAAATATATGGTCACAATGAGACATGTTATTTTATAAGATCAAATATGCATACAATAACTCGATTAACAAGTATATTAACAATTTCATTTCAAGACAGCTTCAACTGAAGAAAACCTATAGATTAATTGCGGTATGAATTGCATCCAATTCTAGTAAGTTCATAATTAACACACTTTTTGCATAATTTGCAGGTCAATATTCATTAGCAACTTGTTGTAGCTAACAGTAACAACAACAAAAAGCATTTATCCCAATAAGTGGGGATGGCTACACGAATCCTTCTTCTCCATTATGTCCTATTGACGGTCCGATTTTCATTTAATTCTAATAAAGGCACAATTTAGAAGATTTTCAAACTAGGCACAAGAATTTTTTGATAGGCATATGATGATTGATTACCTAACCACGATGACTTCCTCAAAAAAACTCCTGAAAAATTAGTTTTAAGACATGACAGATATGAATCCTGTGGTAAGGGCCAACGCATATAAGTTGGATCACCAACGGATTATAGCACTAGTTCATCATAAAATTGGCTCAATTAATTGTATCATTAGCCTCCAATAAACCCCCTTACATTCCTTGTATCTTAGTCTGCAAGATTCACATCTGTGGTAGAATAAACACTCACACAAACATGACTCTAACTTTGGATTACCAGATCAACACTAAATGTGATGGTTTTATACAAATGTAAATTGTCAAGCGGTTCAACTAATCTCAGTCAAAACGTTACTTGGAAATCCGCTTGGAAATCAGCCCAATCTTATATTAGATTATCGCAATTTTATCCTGTCATGAGCCCAGCATAACAGATCTTAAGTCAATCATAAGGTACAATGATGCCTAGATAATAGGATGTTATATCAAACGGACAATGTAATATAAAGATCATCACATTTTGTCTTTCTTATATTCTAGACAAACCTCACTTTGATGAATGATAATTCCTCTTTCATGGATGTGAAATCCTTTCTTTGTAAAGCCAACAGAAGATCAAAGAAAATTGGGCCAACCGATTCATATCTTTCCTTTTTCCTTCATCCATTGTATCACTTTGATCCACTTCATGTTATTCTTATATTCTATTCGAAATTCGATTGTACACCATGATGAACATTAGCATAGGTACATCTAGAAAAGCATTAGGTTCAAGAAAAGCACCGTAAGTAACAACATAGCCTTTTTATTGCTTCGTTTACACTTCTAGGGCTGGAGTTTCCATTACCTACAAAATTTTGTTTCTTGGTTCCTTCAAAGTTCATCTAAAGTGGTATATTAATTTAGTTACTTTTAAATTGCTTGTGTGTAAACTAGCATACATTAAGGCAGTACTTGCATGCATAATATAGAAAATCTAATATTGCAAACCTGAATTTAATCATTTGATGCATGTTATTTGAATTTTACAATTTATTTTACACATACATCTTAACATCATCCTTCTTCAAGGATGAATCCCATTTTACAGAAAGATTTGTGATCAACAAGTTCTGACATACCAAAATATGTGCTTATTGTATAAAAAATGATCTTAATTTATTAAAACTAAATGAAAATATGATACTAAATAGGATGCAATGGAGAAAAAGGATTCATGTAGCCGGCCCCACGTAGAGGGATTAAGGCTTTTTTGTTGATGTTGAGTTGATGTTTTTGTTGTATAAATATGTGCTAATACACAAACTTAAAAAGAAGACAAAAAAGAAATTGATAAAAAATCAGACATTATTCTTAAGATTTGCTAAGAAAGAAAATTACTGGATTCAAATTAAGATACTCAGAGACCCTCAAAGCGAGAAGGTGGTTGTAGGAATTAATCAAACGCCAAATCAAAACTGGCGCTGTAAGAAGCTGAAAAACAAACACCAACAGACTATGTTTGAAAAATTAAAATATGGTTAGAATCATATTCATTGCAGCAAACTTGCACTTAGAAAACTGTGAAAGACCTTATATTGTTGGATGCTCAGTGGAATGCCAATTTCATGGTTCCGAACAGCATTAAGAACACGTAGAGTTTTGCACATTTCTTGAAATCAATCACGTGGAAACTGGCTGCGAGAAAAAACTGCAAATCATTTCCTATATGATTATCAACAATTAGAAAATCATGAGGATTCTCATGAGCTATTATTATCAATAAAGATGCATGATACGGGCTATCTTATTTGGACCGCCCAAAAAAATAAGTTAGGAATACCTACAAACATTCACCTCAAGTAAATTACAATAATATCGAGCCTACAGCAATCCAAAAAGATAATCACTAATACTCTGTATCCACATATATCATAGCTGAAAATATTAGATAAACAGCTGTGAAGTAAACAAAATGGAATGCCCCATACTGTCTGCAACAGTAACCTATACCGAAATAGATAGGATAGAATCCTTATGGCTTACTAGACAGTGATAAACTTAAATGAGATAGTTGAGCAAACTTTGGCTATTTCAGTATGCAATAAGGCCAGTCACAAAATTGTGAACAACAAATTTAAGCTGCATGCAACTGCTTAAAACAAAAATAAATAAAATGAGTTATTGAAATAAAAATTATGCATCAAATGCAAACTAAAATGGAATGTCAAATATATATATATATATTTCCAACAAATATAAGATTTAATAAAATGGAAGACGACATCACAAAGTTGTGATTTGTCAACCTTATCTCCTCTCCCCACAAAGTGAATTCATTCTCTGATGAAACATAGAGTGGGCCAGAACGGACTGGAAAGCTATCTCAAAAATTCAAATCAGCAGATCAAAGAGAACCCTTGGTAAATGAATTTCCACCTTAAATATTGCATTTTACATGACCATGCAATAGAAACATCTAAATGTGTGATTTAAGTATCCAACTTGCTGGTTTCAGGATAATTTATTTATACAATAGACCACCACAGCTTTCCAACCTCATTCCCTCCCCACATTTCATCTCTTAATCAGTAAACAAGAATATGCTTGTAGATTAAGTATTTGGATAAACTTGCATATACAACCTATGAAGAAGGAATAATACTTCAAGAGAATTGAGTAAGTTGAAAGAATTAAGAAGAGTTGCGTTCCAAAAAAAAGGCTCACAGTAATTGTGCGTTGTAAAAATGCACTGCTAGGCTCCTGTGTCACCTAAGAAAATATTATAGTTACGAGGGCTTTGATAGTTTAATCCTAGAATAAGTAATGGCAAATTATATGCCTTCAACATAATTTGTGACAATAGAATTCTAGCATCCAGGCCAGTCAAATTTTTAAAGATCGATGTAATTAGTAAAAATGAAATAATCTCCACTAAAGTTGAAAACTGCAAAGAAAAGGGGAGTGTAAATTTTTTTGTTAAACAGTGAAGGAGTTTTACTCAAATCTTGAATTGTCCGGCTTACAGAGTTCAAAATGATAGGATAGTCCTTAAAGCCAAGGAAAGTTTTGAAGTTTTCTACTTCTTTTCTCAACTGTGTAGTCATCCTTTTTTTTTCCAGAAGAGGTTCAGTTAAAATGATATACAGATTTAAAAGGTAAGAAGGCCAATTTATTGAAAATAAAACAGCAAATCAATTGAGAAGAGAAAAAAATATAAAATAGATATTGAACTATAACCTAAACAAACGCATAAAAAAAGGAACCCATAAGATATTTGAAAGGTAAATGAAAATAACGTTTAGAATGATGAAATCCAAAGCATGAATAAATAGGTTAAACAGCAAAAATAACCTGCAAAATGCACGGCCATAACTAGCAGCCCTTAGTAATGTACGTTGTCTAGACACATCAAACTCATGTCCAGCAGCATCTATACAAGCCTCAACAGCCTCAGGCAACGAAGCACGGATCATTCGCAAATTTTCATCAGCCTGCCAGGTATCAAAAAATAAATGATTCGAGCTATGGAACATCAAACTGGCAGTTAATCTGCCATATAAGTAGAATGGAAGAAATAAATATTTGGAGAAACTCTCTACCCTATCCAATACTAGTCATAAAATTGGATTGTTTAAATATCCATAAATTTCAATTTTTTTTTTTAATCTGTCAATGATATGTTTAACTAGAAGTGTGCATAACAGAAGTGTGCATAACCTTGAAATTTCTTTAGTTGGAAATATACATTAAATGATTTTGCTGAACCTTTAAAGTGAAACATCTGGATAAATATTTCTTGAATGTTCAAAGCATCCAAAAGTTTTGAGAACTCGCCATTGTTCACTAACATTTCATAAGAAATGCAGTCTAAATAATGCGAATTAAAATAAGTCTCACAAGATTAGCATAATTTCTAACACAACTCAAAATTTTTAAGTCTACTATCAAAGCTCACAAAGCATGTCAGACCTTTGCACAAATCAAGTTATGCATAACATAAATTACTTTTAAAAATTTTAGGTAATAGTTTTACAAAAGTACGTGCAATTAAAATAGGGCTTAAATTAGCTAGAATATGTGATATTAGAGTTGACCCAAACCACAACGGAAACACAAATATTATTTCTAAATTCCAAACATATCACAAAACACGATACGGGACAAAAAGAAAAAGACGACAAACAAATATGACAACATAAACAATAAAAGTCGTATGTGGGGGACGAAGAGGACGAAGGCTGCCAGACGGCGATTGGTGTCTGAGAAAAGAGGGTTGCGGCTATAGGGAGGTGGGGGGGGGGATGGGCAGGCGCCTAGCTTGGGACGACAGTCAAAAAAATAGCACAACAAAGTGAAGGCGTTGTGTGCTGCGATAGCGAAGGTGGAGAGTTGGGACAGTGAGGACAGCAAGGACGAGGCAGAGTAAGGCGATGGGGGCGGCTATAATTGAAGAAAACAATAGGTCCTTATTGTTCTAGGTGGTGGCAGCAAGGGTGGCGATGGTAACGGCGTCGAACCGCAGCTGGTGAGGTGCAGGAACGTCATCGAAGGCTGAATTGGTGGCTGCAGTGAAGGCCAAAGAGGTGGGGTTGTAGGATAGCAGTTGGGACGATGGATAGAGAGATAAATATCTCGGCTAGGTCGAGCTACAACCAGAGCACCACTCGGACCCATGGAGACGATCACCATCTCGAACAAGGGACAGTCGGAACACAACCTTGACGTCGGATACAACCCTCAAGAGGGAAAATACTCAGACAAAACTGAATTTGGATTTCATAAAACAGTCCCTTACCAAAGTCACAAGAACTCCTATTTATAAAAGACTTAACTCAAGTTTGGGAAGCATTAAAATAGAAAAGGAATAATATCATATTTCATAATTTAGGCAAGGTTTTTAAAATAGGGAAAGAAATAAAATCAGATTTCTGATTTAATGCAAGAGTTTTAAAATTAGAAAGAGAATAAAATCAGATTTTTGTTCTTAGGAAATGTTATAGAATTAGGAAAGGCTTAGGGAGGCAAGCAAGGAAGAAAAAGGAAAGACGAGGGGAGGAAAAGGAAAGGAGAAGTGGGAGCCTCCAAGGGGACCGGCCGGTCCAGCTTGGTTGGACCTGGGCCCTGTCAGCCCCACATCAGTCTCCCGTCACGCCGTCAAGTCCTCTGGTACGTTGTACAAGTAAACGTTGTCGTTCCAAAGCACATTCTGATAGAAGAGATATATGTCCACTTTTGGCATGACCTGAGCTAGAACTGTAACTAGGCGAGCATCCCCATGAATTAGGTATCGCGTCATCCCAGTTGTAACATGCTTCTTCCATTCCTCATACTCGGCTAGGTTCAACTGATAGGCTAGAATGTGAGGAAAAATCCAATCTGGGTTGAAATCTGTGGCAGGTTGTGCCACTCTCACTGACTTCTCTACAAGAGAGACCTCTTCACCATAGATAGGTGGATCCCATTACAGAATTTTTATCCCAATCAAACTCCTTGGGGCCACTACAAAGCTTCTGTTTATCTCTCCCATCTGGACGTCTGACAAGGTATCCCATGCTGTCCTGAAAGTAACATATGAATAACTCTCTGCAATGTTCACGACATAAAAAATAGTGATCTCATTTCTAACATGTTGGACCTCCCTCCTTCAGGGCAACTCTGGAGGGGATCTATACATCTGAAAAATCTACATCTCACTTATCTGGGGTGGATATGTATCTGATATCGGCTTCTCAAACTCATAACCTCTGTAGACATCCAAAATCATTCTTGTTGATGTTCCTCTCACCATCCGCAAGATGCTAACTTGAGGCACCATAATCTCATAATGTATTGGGTTGCCAATTACCTCAAAGTCACTGAGTAGCGACTGTTATCTCAGTTGGAATCTATCTCAGGGCCAACTGAATTTGGTGGAGTCTCTTCCTTGTTGCCTAAAAAATGAGATTCCTCTTTGAAGTCTGTATCTTCTTCATGATCATCGTTCATCTCTTAAACTGACAGCTGGTACTCCTCTTTTATGTCCTCAACTCCTTCACTGTCTGCGGTGTATTTTCCCAACTTTTCAATGGCACTCTGCTCGATGAAGTAGAACATTCCTTTAGTTGTGCATTCTGCTTCCACATATCTAAATCCGCAACACTTGCAACATTTTTTAACTATAACTGACTTGCGGATTGGTCTTGCTGGACAATAGCAGAGAGGATCGTTTGGTGTTGTGGTCTCTGGACTTCGGAAGCTAGAGTCTACAGCTTTGGGGGCTGTTAAGTTGGTATAAACTGACGTAGTGTTTCCGGCTTTGTCTTTATATATTTTCGTTCCCCTCTTCAACTCTTTCAATCAAGATCAAGGGTAACCTTCCATTGAATTTCATCCTCAATGTTTGTAATCCACCGATGAAGTCGACGAATCTCTAATCATCTCCTCCCGAACAGGCTCGGGCAAGTATCTCATTAGTGGCATGGCTAAGGTTTAGGAATAAGAAAGAAAAATTTTGGTGAGGTTAGGGTTCGGGTTGGGTAGGATGCTAGGAAGCCCTATGATGGGACAAGGGTTGGGTTTGCTCTGATACCAAATGATACCGCAGTTAACCCACGCCAAAACAAAAGCATAAATAATATTTTTAAATTCCAAACCTATTGCAAACACGATATGGGAAATCAAGAAAATAGACGACAAACAAACATGACAACATAAACAATAAAAGGCGTCCATAAGGGACGACGAGGACGGAGGTTGTTGGACGGTGATTGGTGGTTGAGAAAAGAGGGTTGCGGTTGTAGGGAGCTGACAGGAGGGATGGGTAGCTGCTGGAAAAGCAAGACAGCTCAGGGCGGCATTCAAAACAGCAGCCAGTTGTTGTTTGGGGCTGCTAGACAGCACGAAAACAGCAAAGCAAAAGCGTTGCGTGCTACAGCAACAAAGATGGAGGGTTGGGGGACAGTGAGGGCAGTGAGGAAGGGGGAGGATAAGTCGATGGGGGCGGCTAGAACTGCAAAAAACAATAGATCCTTCCTGTTATAAGAAGTGGCAGTAAGGATGGCGATGGTAACGGCGTCGAACCACAACTGGAAAGGGGCAGGAACGTCGTCAAAGGCTGGATTGGCAGCTGCGGTGAAGGCCGGAGAAGTGGGGTTGCTGTGGAAGGAGTAGGACAGCAGCCGTGTGGATAAACGGAGAGATAAAAATCTCTACTAGGTCGAGATACAACTGAAGCAGCACCCAGACCCGTGGAGCAATCACCACCTCGAACAAGGAACAGTCAGAGCACTACATTGATGTCGAATACAACCCTCGAGAGGAAAAATACCATGACTAAAACCTGAATTTAAATGTAAAAAAAAAACCCCCTAACTCTAAGCACATCATCTCATATTTATAAAGAGGTTAGGCTTATTTTAGGTAATGAGAATAAGGATGGAGAATAAAATATAATCACTTTTTCATATTTTAGGAAAGGATTTAAAATAGGAAAGTGCTTAGGAAGGAAAGGTTGAGGAGAAGAGAAAGGAAAGGTGAGGAAGGAGGGGGCGGCATCCCCACTCTCTTGAGGACTGGCCGGTCCAGTTGGGCTAGACCTATGCCCGGTCGGCCCCCCATGAGCCCCGCATCAATACGCGTAACAATGTTTTCAGATGAGCTCCGCTAAATCTAATCTATATTCATATATATCAATTACTATACTTGTAGAAAGATTTCTCAATCAATCTTTGATAAAATAATTAAATCAATATTTTTAACAACCAACTGGCTTCTATAAGTGCATGGAGACATGAATATTAAATACCAGGACATTATATAAAATTGATCTAACATCAACTATTAAATTTGTTAAAACACTTCAAAATCAATCTTTCATAAAAAAATTACAGCAATATTTTTACCATTCAATCATTCTATATGAGTGCATGTATAAAAAAGAAAAGTATATACAAAACCCTTTCGAGGATATTATAGCAAACAGATTCTGGATCATTCTCCAACAATTAGGCTTTATATAACTCCCAAGGCTCTTTGAACATATTTCATTTGCCCTCATGTAACCTTACACAATATAGGTCCCTAATAATAATAACTTCACAGGCCAGAAATAACAATCTATTTTTAGCAAGCTCAGCACATTGCGATCAATCAGAAAACAACATGGCTGGCAATATTCAGTTGCAAGATACAATACCAAGGTAAAAAGCACAGCAAGCAGAGAAGCTTGCAGTATGCAAATGCCTAGCAAAATTCAGCTTAAGGAGAGGAAATTTTTTTACTCTCATCCCCTTAGTCCTTATCATCGACTCCATTTGTTAAATCAAATAGATTGATACCAACCTAGGGTTACTCGATGGTGTGGGATAACAGAGAAAGATTAGATAAGTTGTAAACTGAGAAAGAAGGGCGGGAAGATTATGTCAGCTGAGAGATTAGGGTGACAGCAGTTGAACATGTAATAACTAATATTTTTTAAGAAAATTAATTTTTTTGCGACATACAATATATCCTA